GTTACCGGTGCCGATGAGCAGCAGCGACGGCGGCGTGAAGGCTACGCGACGGGAATGAAAGGAAACCCACGGGAGGCGAGAGAGTTTTCCGCGTGGTAATTCTGATATTTATAGGGGGAGAAAGGATGATTAATTTGAGTGCTTGATGACGTGGCATGTTCTTCCCCACACATTATTTTTAATAAAAAGATATCAAATCATTTTGAGATAATATGTTAGGATCTCCAGAAGTTTCAGGATGATTTTGGGTTTTTTTTTTATATTTTTGAAATTTTGCTTTAAAATAGATTAGTTTTGTATCCGTGTAATGTGGCAGGAGCCGTGAATTTTAACAATTTTGAAATTTCACTAGTTTTATTAGAAAATATTTAATGATGATATAAGTTACAATTACAGTGTATCGATGAAAAAATTATATGACACTTTAAAATCCAATATATTTAAACGACTCCAAAAATATATTCGATTTACACAAAAAACAAATGATTAAGAGATCGAGAGCGAGAGTTCTAGAGCAACTGAACGGAAGATAAATGAGAGAACTTTTAATAATAACTCATGGTGAATATCAGTTTGAATTTTATCTTGAGGGATGAGGAGAAGACATAGAGGTATGAGAGGGTAAATACATGAATGAAATGTGTCAAAAGTATCTTGAGAACATGAAAAGAAAAAGTAATAATATGCATTGGTAACTTGTACTATATATTATTTTAATTGTAGATTGAGAGATTTTAAGACTGAATGCACAAAGTAGTAGTACTTAATGCATTATGAGTTGTTTTTAAAACTTTTAAGAATTTGTGCATAAATGTATAATACTTTGTATATTAAAAATTGTTTTTAAAACTATTGATAAATCTAGTTTATAAGGTACTATAGATAAAATAAAAAAAATGGTGAAATTTGAGATATTTTTTAAAAATAGTTTTTTAATATTAAAAATAATAAGATTTAAATGAGGTTAGATGTTTAGGAAATAGATAATAATATCTTACTAAAATGTATTATTTTTAATAATATAAAAAATTGTAATATCATTAAAAATTTAAAAAGTTGTATCAAATGCATTATATATAAGGTAGTATATATATATAGTTTGTTTCAAATACAAGTCGTCGTATTTGTACAACCAATGCAACCCAATGAATTGAGATATTTATGAAAATGATGAGAGTTCATTTATTATGATTTGATATTTATGAAAGATGAATATGGTTAATTAATTATGATCAATACTTTATATTAGGAAACAATCAAAACTTCTATAAAATCGCATATTAATCAAATGAAATGGATGGTTGAGATTGAGTTGTATTAGTTGCACAAATGTCAAGGGTTGTATAATAACCAACCCCTCTCTCTCTCTCTCTCTCTCTCTCTCTCTCTCTCTCTATATATATATATATATATAGGTGGAGGTTCAAACGAGAACCCCTGTAATTTACAAGAACGCGAGAACAATCTAATAACCTCAAACTTTTTTAATTAATAAATTAACTTTTATTAAATATAAATAATTTAATAAAGACAGTAATGTAATTAAGTAATTTTTATTTTATTTTATTAGTCATAATTATCCCTTTTTTTTGCACGTTCGCTTCCACTCTCTTCTATCCCCTTGTGATAATTGTGTGATTGTGTAACCATAACCTGTCAAAACCATGATCAATCAAGTGTAACCATAACCTATCGAAACCATGAGTAATCGTTGTGATAAATGTGTGATTGTCTAACCCTAACCGATCGAAACCATGATCAAATTGAGTGCACAAGTGATGTTATAATAGTGATATCACATGATTATCACACTCATATTACACCAAATCGTTTAGTGGATTTCGTCCGTAATCGTTATGATAAATGTGTGATCGTCTAATCCTAACCTATCAAAACCATGAGTAATCGTTGTGATAAATGTGTAATTGTCTAACCCTAACCGATCGAAACCATGATCAAATCGAGTGCGCTGTTATAATAGTGATATCACATGATTATCACATTCATATCACACCAAATCGGTAGTCGATTTTCTAAGTTAACCCTAGCCGAGCGGAATCCTTGTGATAATTGTGTGATAATCACATGATTATTCACACCCATATCACACCCAAATCACACCAAATCATGTTGACATAAGCGATAATGTGATAATTGTGTGATAATCACATGATTATCACACCCAAATCACACCAAATCGTGTTGATATAAGCGATAATGTGATAATTGTGTGATAATCACATGATTATCACACCCATATCACATGATAATCACACCCATATCACATGATAATCACATGATTAACCGTTTATTAGATAATGATAATCATGATCGTGTAATCGTGTTAAAAGATTTTATGATATCATTTCCATTATTACCCTTTTGATTTTAATATTTTTTGAACCTTTTTAAATTTCAATTTTAATTTTAAAAATATTTTAATTTTATTTTTTTACTATAATATGAGGTTATTGAGTTATTTTCGCATTCTCGTAAATCACAGGGGTTCTCGTTTGAACCCTTCCATATATATATATATATATATATATATATATATATATATATATATAAACACTACAACAAAATTGGATTTATAGGACACCCCCAATCTCTAAACGTCCCAATAGACTGTTTTATAGGACTTAATTTATAGGACCAAAATACAAAACGTCTTATCTAAATGTGTTGTAATAAGTTTATATGATGCTTTTGGGCGTCTTAATAAGTTTTTAGGACATTTTTAATACAAAGTGTCGCATTAGCAACTTTATAGGACACTTTTGAGAAAGTGTCCTATAAACTCAATTTTTTATAGGATATTTGTTTTTATAGGACAATTTTTCAAATAGTGTCCTATAAAGTTGATAATGACACACTCTATATTAAAAGTGTCCTAAAAAACTTATTACGACGTCAAAAAACGTCATATAAACTTATAACGACACATTTAGATAGGACACTTTATTTTTTTTGGTCCTATAAACTAAGTCCTATAAAAAGGTATATTATGACACTTATAATTTGAAAGTGTTCTATAAACCCGATTTTATTGTAGTAAAACAAATTTGCTTTTAAGTTTAGAGTACTTTGTTGACATCAAGAAAAAGAAACATCCCCATTGTGCAATAAATGGCATCCTCCACCACCACTTCTCTCAAAATAAAAAAAGTCTTGGTCTCATCGCAATACATTTTTTTCTTTATTTTTTTGTCTCTCACATCCGTTTCTATATATATATATATATATGAAGGAACGATCAAATAAAAACTACATTCATTTGTGTAAATTGTGTAAACCAATCTCACCCATCTATTTTCTTGATCAATTGTTAAGATTAATCAAGGTTATTTAAGGAAATTAAAAATAAAAAAAATTGAAAATACATTTTATAATACCAATAAGGACAAAAGAATAAAACTAAATATTCATTTATTTAAGGAAACCATATCATGTATATCATATTATTAATGAAACTAATCTATTTTTTATAAAGTAATTTATTATTTTTACGCTAACATTTATTATTATTAATTAAACTAATTTATTTTTCATCTTGCAATTATTTCATGACGAACCGTCTACATTATGCACCCGTTTCATTTTTCATTTCATCTACTGAATGGATCACCTACACCATCATTGAAACGAGTTTCACCATGAAAGCAGTTCACTACTCATTGTTCAATTGCGCCATAAACCAGTTTCACCTTCATGAAACCTGTTTCATGTAAATTAATTTTTTTATTTCACTCATGATTTGATGCATTCTTTCCTTTACTCCTTATAATTTTCAAGATTCCGGAGCAGATTACAATCTTCAAGATCCCGAAGCAGATTCATCATGTACCCGTTTCATCATGCAATTATTTCATGACGAACCAAATAAATTATGCACCCGTTTCATGTTCCATTTTTTCTACTAAACGGATCAACTACACTATCACTGAAACGTGGTTCACCATGAAACAATTTCATATTACTCATGAATCAATTACAACATGAACCAATTTCACCTTCATGAAACCTGTATCATTAACATTATTTTTTTTTAATTTGAACCATAATTTACAATTTCATTCCATAATGCAATTCAATCTTCAAGACCCGTTTGCAAATTCAATCTCATAACAATATATCAAATTCAAATTTTTAATATTATAATATGATTAAATATTTAAATGTTATCATTTATACAATTTCTTTTATTACGTTTTCTTAATTAAGATTTATTAATAACTTCCATATTTAATTAAAAAATATTGTAAATGACCGAAATACTATTATTGATTAAATTTAATTAGACAAAAATGAAATTTTCTTATTGGTCGAAATTGGTTTACACGGTTTTTTAGAAATGTACGGTTTTCATTTGAACGTGCCCCCATATATATGTATGTATATATAGGTTTGTGCTTGCAACTAATCATAAGATAAGTGATAAGATAAAACTAACATTTAAGTTTATCCAAATCAGAAAACCATAAACAAACTGTCAAAAAATTCGTATTCCAGAGGAGGCTGGTGCAAGTTCCCAAATGGGTTAAGTCGCGTGGAAACACGTCTGTAATACTGTTTCCAAACATAAAAATATGATTTTTTGGAAAGCACACACACAATACACTAATGCTATCTTGTGACCATTTCATATATATGTAAAATTCGCACAATACGGCTAAATCCTCAGCTAACTTGATCTCTTCAACAATTCTACGTGATCGTTTACCAAACGCTTACCTGGGTAAGTAGCTTACCAAGTTATATTACTTTAAATACGATAAAGACCAAGAATCTTACCCGATAAGTGAGGGCAACGACTATCACCATGGTAAACGCTTTTGGTTAAACTTTGATATCCAATTTTAAACATTAATAAAAGTTTAATTTTGTTGTGACATATTTATTGTGGGCCAAACAGATTTTTTATGGGCCGCAGAGTTGGCACCAACACCATCAGGAAGGCTGACAACTGTGTGTACTCTTCACTGCCTTTCGTTAAGGATGGAGGTCTTGTTCCTGTTCATACAGATTTGTGCAAACCATTTTAAAGCATTTCTTCCAAATTCCCTTCTTCTAAACCCCAAAACCATCTTCTTTTTTTTTTCACTCAAAATCAATCCTTTTCTCCACTTTTGATTTTCTTGAACCATATAATCAACAATGGCATCCATCCCTTGCTCTTCGAATCTCACTTCTCCACTTTCTGATTTTTCTAAATCCAACCGAAACCACCAACCTTCTTGTCTCTCGCTTTCTTCTTGTTCTGCAACTACTTCTGTCAAATCCCTTTTAGGGTCATCAAATTCGATGTTTTTTCAACATGGGTTTGCTCTAAAAGCTGGAATTGTTTCTGGGTTTTCGTCCATCTCTCGATCTCAATTTGGGGTTTTTGCTACAGCTGCTACAGGAAAGAGTATTTATGATTTTACTGTAAAGGTACACAATCACTTGCACCCTTTATGTTCATTGAAATATGTTTTCCTTTGTGGGTGAATTGCACATGTTGATGGGGATTTCTTGATTTAGTTCCCCAAGATTTCTTGATTTGGTTCCCATAGTATATCTGTTCCAAATTCTGATGTATGTATAATTGCTAGAAAATGCTATGTCCTCTAGGTCTCTATAGTTCTTATCCAATGACTGAAATAGAGGACAGTTCTTGTTTTACAATATTGAAGGCTCTAAAATCATCTAGTTTGATAGCTTCTATTGGGACACTAGACTCTTAAGCCAGCCACCTAGTGGGTCGTTGTGTACCTGATTTGCCTCTCACATGATACGGCGCTAAAGTGGAGGTTGTTGGTCACAAATCCTTTTCGCGCAAACTATTCAAATCTATGTCTAAATTATGAAAGACGGTAAGATGCCATATTGAATCATGTAAATATTCGCTAGTTTTAAGGAAAAAAACTAATCGAAAATTTGTTTAATCACAGTTCATTTTGCATTGACATGATTGTTATTTGTTGCAGGATATTGACCGAAAGGATGTTCCTCTCTCCCAATACAAGGGAAAGGTTCTACTAATCGTCAATGTTGCATCGCAATGGTAATTCCTACTCTTATGATTCTATCAAGTTCACTTCAAGTAGGTTAAAGGGCTGTTTGGCAATTGCTGAATGATTTGGTGCAGAATGATTAAGTGGTTAGAATGATTAAGAGGCTCTCATGATATAGTGCAAAATGAAATATAATTGTTTGGTAATTGTGTACAATGAAATTAGGGCTCTTAATGGTTAAGGGTATCCAGGATACAAAATCATTAAGAGGGTTTTAGAATCATTAAGAGGGTTTTAGAATCATTAAGAGGCAGACTTTTTTTTTTGCCAAACAAGATTTACCTCTTAACGATTCAGATGTTGCCTTTTAATGGAACTATTAAGAGGTAAACAAAATAACACCTAAGTTATACCTTTCTAACTTTTGGAATTAACTTTGGGTTCAGTGGTTTGACGACATCGAACTATTCGGAGCTCTCTCAAATCTATAACAAGTACAAAGACCAAGGTTCGTGGCTACTAAATCCGAGGCTATTGTATTAGTTTTCGTATAATTAGTTGAATAAAAGTCCAACCAAAAGCAAATGCTAACTTGCTTTGGAGAATTTCATTCACAAGGTTTTACCACTTGGCTTTACAAAGGTATAATTAGGCCATGTTTTGAGCAACCATAAGCTAGCTTATTGAAAAAGCTTTGTTTGCTAGGCATGAAGTAGCTTTATAAGCTAGATTTTTGAAAAGCTACTTTAAATAGCTTTTCAATAAGCCACAGGGGCTGTTTTCGTTTTGTTTTTCCATTTATGCCCCCTTATTTTAGAATTGAGTCATTTTTCAATATATCTTTTTAGGTAATTTTATATTGTCATCTAGCTTATCAGCTTGCTTTTACCAAACATAATTAGTTTATCTGCTAACAACTAGCTTATTAGCCAACAACTATAGCCTTCAGATAGCTTTTCAAAAAGCTCCACATTTTTTTTCACCTTTTTCCAATTATGCCCGTTATGTTAGAATTAGGTAATTCTATATAATGTCCTTCTAGGTCGTTTTTCATTGTCATCTACTTTAAGAGCTAGTTTTTACCCAAGGTGACTAGTTTATCAGCTGACAACTATAGTCTTAGTGATGCACAGGACTGACAACCCGATCCAGACCAACCGGACCTGGACGGTCAGGCCTGGATCGGTCATAGGTTTCAGACCAAGGACCGGTGTAGACAGAGAACGTAGCTTACGTCTTTAACTTGTAAATCTTCACACAGGGCTCGAAATCCTTGCATTCCCCTGCAATCAGTTTGGGTTCCAAGAACCTGGTTCAAATGCTCAGATTAAAGAATTTGCTTGTTCAAGGTTCAAAGCTGAATTTCCAATTTTTGACAAGGTTTGTTGAGGTTTCTTCTACTTATTCCTTGTATGGTATAATGTGCGCAGACCTGACCTCTACCTGAAAAGAGTAGACCATTTTATTACTCAATCTTGTAATAAACCGATTGATCTAGAGTACTAATATTGTATCTGCCCCAGGTTGATGTGAATGGCCCATTCACAGCCCCGGTTTATCAGTATCTCAAGTCGACTAGCGGAGGATTATTGGGTGATTTGGTGAAGTGGAATTTTGAGAAGTTTCTAGTAGATAAAAGCGGAAAGGTCGTCGAAAGATACCTTCCTACTACTTCCCCTAACGAGATCGAGGTACGCTACACTTTCTACAATGAGTAACAAAACCTTTTGAACCATCGTTCTTTTCGAAATGCAAAAAGATTGCCAACTTTAGGGTAATCTCTGGGGTAGCTCAACTGGGAAGACTTTGGGTTTGTTCCCCCTTGGTCACTGGTTCGAGTCCTTTCAGGGCCACTAGAGGTTTTCCAGGCTGCTAGCTTCAGGGCCCCATGGGGATAGTCGAGATCTGCTTAAGCTGACCCGGACACCCACAGTTATCAAAAAACTCCAGTTTCATTCATTATAGAAAGTGCAATGCTTCTTTATTGCATCTTCGCGAGAACATGATTTATTTGGTATAAAATACGTAGTTCACTATTCTGTTATGTTGCAGAAGGACATACGGAAGCTTGTTGCAGTATAGAACGATTACATACCTAAAATCCGAGAGACTACATGGTATTTATGATTTTGTACCGTTTCGCTTACATTCATCATCACACGGTTCGTCCCTTTAGTTCTTGTGACCAAAAGCAAATAGCATGTATAGCCGGGAACCGTGGATTCGTGTAACTATCTAAATAATATATAGTTATGGTACTCATTGTTTGAATGACATATTTTTAAAGTGTCGTATAAAAAAGCTAATAAGACGATTAATTGTCATAAAAATACTCCTTTCGATCCAAAATAAAGATGAATTCAATTCTTTCGTTTGGTTCACATGTTGAAATGGATGGAATCTTTTGAATTCCTTTGAATTTCATAAATTGATGAATTCATCATTCCTTGGCATAAGTGAAGAAATTGAATATCATCTCTTTGCATTCAATTTAAGTAACACCATTCGCTCCTTGCCCCCATCACGACCATGTTGTTATTTTTACTGTCACGGCCCCTAACCCCCC